GCCCTCCAGCTGTGGTGAAACTACAAATCCCATGATGCATCTCTCTTCGGGAGTCATGCCTGTGGCTGTGAGAATCTTGCAATGCCTCATGGGATTTGTAGTTCCACCACAGCTGGAGGGCCGGAGGTTTGAGACCCCTGCTCTAGAGAAATCCTGGAGGTGAGCATGGGGGGAGTTGACTATGGAGCTGGAAAGCAGGAGGTCTTTGGAAGAGCGGAGGGGATGGTTAGAATGATACTTTGAGACAAGGTTTGAGATATAGTCGGGGCCAGAGTTGTGGACGGCTTTGTAAGTCATTGTTAATATTTTGAATTTTATGCTTTGGGCTATTGGAAGCCAGTGCAGGGATCAGCAGAGGGGGGTTGCAGACACTGAGCGGTTGGTTAGGTGGATGAGTCTAGCAGCAGCATTCATGATAGACTAAATGGGGGATAGCCTGTGTAGTAGTAGGCCAATGAGGAGGGAGTTGCAATAGTCAAGATGGGAGATAACAAGTGAGTGGATGAGTAATTTAACGGTTTCATTGGTTTCAAGGGGCGTATTTTGGAGATGTTACGAAGGTGAAGGCGGCAAGATTTGGATAGGGATTGGATGTGGGGAAGAAAGGTGAGGTCCAAGTCAAGGATGACACCTAGCACCTTGGCATGGGGGGAGGGTTGGATAGTTGTGTTATCAATCTCAAGGGAAAAGTTGGGGGAAGGTGCACAGGCAGGAGGAAATATCATGAGCTCAGTTTTAGAAAGGTTGAGTTTGAAGAAGTGTTGTGACATCCAGACTGTCAGGATTTAAAGCAGATTGCAACTACCCCACTCAAGGGATCTTGTCTTGGGCAGTAAAATATTGTGTAGTTGCTTGGTAATGCTGCTTCTAAGATGGGTCCTGCATTTTCATCTAGTCATGTTTCTGTGATGCATGTCAGGTCACAGGAGTCTATGAGATCAGCTGTGACCACTGTCTTATTTAGGGTTGCCACCCGTCCGGTTTTCACATTGACAGTATAGTTTTGGAGTCTTGTGTCCGGCTGTCAGAGGACACCCAGACACAAGACACTCAGTCACTTTACATTTTCTCACAGATGCGGCTGCTAAGGCCCCCGGCAAGTGCAATCTCGGGCAGCCGCATCTGCCTGAAACCAGATCTTTCTCTGAGCTGTGGCCAGCCTTTGCCTGTTTACAGGCGCCCGCAGGTCAGAGGAAGATCCAGTTTTAGGCAGATGCGGCTGCCCGAGATCGCTCTTGCTGGGGACTCGGCACCCATATTTGTCATTGCCTCCTCCTCTTCCTCATCCTCCAGCTCCCTGACACCGTTCTGCCCACCTGTGGACCCCTGGTGAAACACTATAGCCCAGACAGCCCACCTGAGAGGCTCACAGCCCACCTAAGAGGCTCACAGCCCACCTGAGAGTCGCACAGCCCACTTGAGCGGTGCCCAGCCCACCATAGAGCCACATAGCCAACCTGAGAGTGTGCACAGCCCACCTTAGAGCCATATAGCTAACTTGAGAGTGCGCACAGCCCATCTTAGAGCCATATAGCTAACTTGAGAGTGCGCACAGCCCATCTGAGAGCTGCACATCCCACCTAAGAGCCACACATCCATCTTAGAGCCCGCACAGCCCATTTGAGAGCCCGCACAGGCCACTAGGCCACCTGGAGACATCAGAGTGCCAACCCAGAACAACACAGAGTATGTATCTTCATATTATTTTGTATTGCTGTAGAATGTATTGTCCTCTATTAAACACATTTATATAGATATATATATGCCATTTTTTAACTATTCTTTTTCTTATTTATTTTAGATGTTATTCTTATGTTGGAAACCAGCAGATTGGAAAACAAATGCTGTCTATTGGAACTGGTTGTGATAATGTGGAAATAGTTCAGCACAAACTTCTCCATGCACTGGGTTTTTTGCATGAACAGTCGCGTTCTGATCGTGATGACTATGTGACCATTGTCTGGGAAAATATCCAGTCTAGTAAGCTTTAACACATGTAAATTTAGGATCAAATATAAACATGTTCATCTATTGAACCCGACATTTCTTTAGGGCAGTGGTTCTCAACCTGTGTAACCTCGGGACCCACATTTTTCCTTTGTCGGGAGCCGCGGCTCCTGATATTAATGCGCCGGCCGAAAGTGAGAAAATAGTCCCTTCTCTCCCTGGGCCATACCACTTTATCGGAGAGCCCGGGGGAGGCCGGGAGAGAGGGGACAGTTTTACATTATGGAGTTCTCACAAGCTGTACTACAAATTCCCCTCTCTATTTTGCTCTACTGCAGATGGGCCGCTCCATGAAGAAATGACACCGCGACCCACTGCAGAAGGTGTCGCGACCCACTTTTGGGTCGCGACCCACGAGTTGAGAACCACTGCTTTAGGGTATAAACTCCTAAAACTGTAAGAAGCAATTTACAGACCTGACGTAAAATGCTACATTTGTCCCAAGGATACTACACAACTAAATACACATTTTATTTAAATATATGGGACCTGTTTACCTGTAGTTTAACTCCAGACTTGTGCATGGTGCGAAATTTAGTTTCGTTTTTGTTTAGATTTTATTTATCAAAATCTATTCGGATTTTCTTATTTTTTCTGAAATTCGGATCTGTTCGATATTTGGAATTCGGGACGCAACGGAAGTTTTAATTTTCGGGATTCAAATCTATTCGAATCTATTTGGTTGGAGTTAAGTTGTTTTTAAATGTGAAAATTAAAAAAACAAAACACCGTGGGGTCCCCCTCCCCAATTCATACCAGATCCTTTAGGTCTGGTAGTAATTTTAGGAGGGGACCTCATGCTAAAAAAAAGTGTGTGGGGTACCCCCTAAAATTCCTTACCAGACCCTTGATCTGATCCTGGCGAAGCACCCTCGCCATGTTGAGGGCATATGGCTTGGTATGGTGCAGGAGGGGCAGCTCTGCCAGGCTGCTGCTCCAATCAATGATCTGGAAAGGAATTTTAGGGGGGTCTGGTATAAATTGGAGGGGGTCCCCACACTGTTTTTCTTTTTAAATTTCAACAACATTATTAGTTACATTCAGACAAAATTCAGACGCATCCAAATTTTTGTTATCAAAAATTTGTGTATGTCCGAATTCGTTATTTGTTTCATTTGGACATTCAGATGCATCCAAAAGTCCGGAAATTACGATTTTCGTCCGAATGTAAATTCAGACGAGTATGAATGCACATGTGTATTTCTTTCTGTGCATTCTGTCTAGGGAATCAGGCTCTCCTGCTTAAATAGAACAGCCAGGTCCTCTGCCTCCACTGCAGTAGCCCAGCTGGGTCAATGGTACACCCCCAACTCGTTTGGGCAATGAAGGAACAGGACCTCAATAATGAGTCATTGCTCTGTGCACTCTGTTCTATCCTGCTGTCTCTGTGTTTTCTGTTAGTGTATGTGTGCTACAGCAGAGTCCTGTTAGCTTCTAGTACTTGCCCTCTCACCTCTAATCTGAGTGTGGCTATATAAGACTTTCTAGAAAGCTGATATCAAGGCGCATTGTAGTATTTTACACTAGTTTCAGTTTGAAAAAAATGATTTGGATAACTTGAATGTGCACGGAATTAGCAACACTTGACTGATTATTTCCTGAAATTATTGTTCTCTCTGGGCAATTAAACAATGGCTCATTGGCTGCACAGATTTTTATTCCCTTTAAACAATGAAACTAAATACTTGTAAAATACCTCTAAAGTAATATGTTTAGTCAAACAAAAGTAAAATATATCCTGCTGTGCATAGATATGTGTAGATAATAGATATGCCACTTTTTGTTTTTCTATTATTATAATTTGTGTTTCTAACATCCTAACACATTAGTACCAGCTTTCCCATGCATTGGTAACACATTTATAGCATTCATAGCTTCTAATGGCCTTCCTGAATCACTTTAAAGTGGATTTCCTCTTTTGCAGTCAAATTTAAATAACCCCCATTATATGTTTGTTATGTGTTCCCATGCACACATCATGCACCTCAACTGGACTTGCTGTATTTTTCTTGAAGATGTTTCACTGGACATCCAGCCAGCTTTCTCAATTCAGAATGACTTGTACAAAAAATTCTATGGGAATAAATATGGTGAATTTCGCTCCAATCCACATAATCTGTTAGTCACAACCAGCTGTTGGAGCTAAATTCACCATATTTATTCCCATAGAATTTTTTGTACAAGTCATTCTGAATTGAGAAAGCTGGCTGGATGTCCAGTGAAACATCTTCACGAAAAATAGAGCAAGTCCAGTTGCCTTGACTTATTTTTTTACAGATAATCCCAATCTGGCTTCACAAATAGAAATACACTTTACATGCCCTCCTACTCCAGTCTGGGAGTGTTGAATGGTTTACAGATGTTTACTAATGCTCTTCATGTTAGTACAGTTTTACAAGCTAAGATTAAAGTATCTAAAGTCAAAGTGGCGAGAGGTTAGAACCTTTGTCAGGATTTTATTGCGGTCTATATGGAGCATGGAAAGAATTCCTCTTAATTGCTATAGTGTGTACAGGACAGGAAGTGAAAAAAAACACTTAATCCAAAATGGCCTTATTTAAAACGGTATGTGTTGAAATAAAGAAATGTGTTCTGAAAATGCATGTATTGTAAGCCAGGATATTTCCTTATAGCTTTTCCTTTTATTTTCTAATGAATTTGTATTTCTTTAATGTTTTTATTTCTTTAGGCCAAGTGTCAAACTTTCAATTGTATGATGAGTCAATAGCAACATTTCTGGATGTCCCTTACGATTACACATCTGTCATGCACTACAGCAACAAAGCTTTCTCCACTGGAAAGGCAACAATTATTACAAAGAATGCTCAGTTCAACAATGTCATTGGGCAGCAGACTGACCTCAGCCCAGACGATGTTCTAAAACTGAACCGGCTCTACAATTGTAGTAAGTTTAACCCCTACATGCAGTGGTGTATTGGTGTTTACAGAATGTAAACATATCACGTATCATTACATGCGGTGTGCAGGCGTTTACATGCAACTGTTGTCACCTGATCATTAACTCAGGTGACAGCTGCCACTTGTAAATGCCAATTTAGGGATTTCTGCTGCAGGAAAACGCAAGTTCCTGACGCAGAAATCCCTTAATTGCACCTAAAATAAAGGTGTGAATGTATGCTAATACACTTCTACTCCCATCCACCCCCCCACCACCACACCACCACCACACGTAAAAACAATACAACCCCTGTACATATCAAATAATACCACCCCCCCCTGTCAATTTATATCAAGCAGTCAATATGACTGCTTGATAAATTAACTTTTTTTAATTTATCGTTATTATTATAAGACAAATATTAGGATCAGCCCTAAACAGAGACACCAACCCCTGAATACAATCATAAATACCATCCAAAAAATGGGGCTTTCAAGGTGACTTATGAATAATGCAAGAAGATACAGCTAGACATAATACCCCGTAACTCATTTTTATATAGTAAAATTCATGTTTAATAAGGTAATTTCATGATTAGAAAAAATTGTATATAAAACCATATCGCACTCATCTAAAAACAAGACCATAATACATACATGCCATTTATATGTATTATGGTCCTGTTTTTAGATGAGTGCGATATGGTTTTATATCTGGCCAGAGATGTAGTTTTGTGGCGAGTTTTCATCGGGTTCGGAATGGGTTGTCGTACGGTGGGACTTTTTATTTTGGCGAGTTGGTGAGCGTCGTTCATCGTTAAAGACGCTGGATTACATAGATGGAGCCATTTTTTTAAAATAAAGAAATTGTCAAAAATGTACTTTTTTTTTCAATAAAAGAATTTTTTCTAAAAGTGTGGTATGTTTTGTTTTACATTTGGGTGCCCCTAATTAAAGGGGTGGCCCAATGCAAATAAGCTCCTCTGCCCACAGACCCCCACAACCAACAAGTCAGGGTTGTGGGGGAGGGGACCTTGTCCTCATTGGCATGAGGACACCCTCATTCCTAGGGCATGTGGTCTGGTAAGGCGCAGGAGGGAGGGTGGGCGCTCGATCGCCACACCCTTTCCTGCCCTGCTGGGCCTGTGTCCGAATAACGAATCTTTACAAAACGAATCGCACGTGTCTAATGGAGAGATAATTACATGCTCCGCATACCAGGAAGTACCAAATGTGTCCCATTCAGCTGCTGCCAATTACAAATAAAGTCCCAAAGGAGGTCTTTTTATCAAATCATATAAAGATCCATTTTGTTATAGTGTCTTTTGACTCCAATCAAATCCTTATCCCATTCTAAGCCCTGATGAAGGGGGAATGTTGTTGCCCACCAAACACATTGGCTGTTTGTTTTTTTTAAATCAAACTGTGAGCAAATAAAGCACTTTTGGATTCTAACCCTTTGGTTTGGTGCCTTTTATTTTGGAACATTGAGTCACTTCTGGTTATCCCAACAAGGGAGGCCTGCTTTGTTTCCTGGGTCTGGATTTAAGTGAGCACGAAACCCCACCACCTCTTAAATGTTTTACTTTAAAAATCCTGAATAGAGGGGCAGGGGAGAGTAAGGAGGGTGAGTATAAGCAGCTACAGAGACCAGCATGGGGTGTCCTGCATAGTACAGACATGAAACTATTGTTATTAGTTGTATAGTTGTGTTTTGTTTATTAGTTACAAAGTTTATATTTTTATCATTGCACTAATTAGCAGGGACACTGGCATCATGACAAAAATCTCAGCTGGTGTTAGCCCATATATCATCAATATTGCTTGTTTCTTGTCCATGTATTGTCCCGACTGTCAGTGTCTTACCCAAATGCTGCCACAATTGCTTGTTTCTTGCCCATTTAAAGTCAGTTTGTTACCCACATTTGTTGCCCTCCAAGTGTCATAATTGCTGTATTTTTGCTCACATTTGTTGGCCAAGTATTGTCACAATTGCCAGTGTGTTAGCCACATATTACCATGATTGCCAGTGTGCCATGATTGCCTGTTTGTTGATCCCTATTATCACAATTGCCATTGTGTTACCCTCTTGCTGCTCATCTACACACACATGTACCAGCTTTTGCCCATGTATTGTTACAAATGCCATTGTATTGCCACAAATCTCAGGCTTGTGAGGTTACAAAATTTCCAAGATATATATAACAATATGATAGTGAGCAAGAATCAATGCCTAGATGGCCAATTTCTGCGCTTTATAATAAAATATAAAGTTTTTGTTCTGTGTCATGTGATGTTATGCGCCCCGCCTCCAGGATGTGTTTTTTTAATTTGTAATAATTTTTTATTTTATTTCTTTTTTTCTGTTGAGGGGGCTTAGGGGAAATATTAGGGGTCCCTTTTAAAATAGAAAAAGAAATAGAGGACACAAAGTCCTCAATCTCTTTTTCTGCAGCCTCTGTTCTAAATGAATGGAAAGCACAGAGGCTTTTCATTCACTATCAAGCTGTTTCTGAATTGGTAGAAGCCTCTGCAATGAGTGCTACTCCCCATTGAGAATGAACAGGAAGTGATGTAAAGCACTTCCAGTTCATTTATAACCGGGGACACAAAGGACTGGGCGGAGGAGGGAGCCGCTGTCACAGCAGCATGGCCGAGCGGTGAGGAGAGAGTGAGCCGCCGGCTGTCAGATCCAGGCCGAGCTGCTCTCGCTCTCTCTGCACTGCTCGGCCATGCTGCTGTGACAGTGGCTCTCTGCTCCGCCGGCTGCACTGCTTCACTTCTCCTCAGATCCCCACTGCATACAGATGGGGAGAACAGCGGGGATCCAGAGGAGAAGCCCCACTTCTCCCTGCTGGCTGAGCTCTGGCTGCGACACCCCACGCACCTGCGCCCGAGGCGAGAGCACTGCACATTAGCACAAACTATGAAAATGTGCATAATAAATAATGCACGTATGTATGTAAAGTAAGCAGCCATTTATTGCAAGATTTATCTCAATCTAAGACAAATAAATAGCACTAGTCATACAATGTCTGGGGCACTGTGCAGCAGAGGGAGGGAAAAGCAGTGTTGCTTCTCTCTTTAGTTTGTTCAGTTAAACTTTGAAAACTAAAGCTAGAAGCTGATTGGTTGTCACGTGCAGCTGCTCCAGAATCTGCTTTCTCCAAGCTTAGTAAATTTATGTACCTTAGACTTTTAAGTGATTTTTTAATCTTTTTTTTTCTGTTTATAAAAAAACCCCATAATTAATACAAATAAATATTTAATACAGGGCATACCCACAGCACAGTATATGTATTTTATATTTTACATTTCAAGGGTATTATGCTTTCTGGAATTTGCTTAATATATGTATTCTACATCTGTTTCTTAGCTTCCTCGCTTACTTTTCTGGATTCATGTGATTTTGAGTCTGATGAAATGTGTGCCATGCTGCAGAGCTCGGTTGACAGCGGCGATTGGCAGCGTGTTACCTCAGCACCAGGAGGACCAGATTCAGACCACACCTATATGCAAAATGGTAAAGGTAAGGGACATTCATTACATATATTACACGCGTTTCCTTACTTTATCTGCTGGATACATCCATAACAAACTATTGCATAGCTTACGTTGATTTAAACCTTGGATAATGTTTATTTAAGCTGGACATATTTTCTATTTGTTCTAATTTTCAGCCTTGTGGACCGAATGAGAAAAATCACTTGATTCGCCCATCCACACTAAACACTAAAGTGTGGATGAAGGAATCTCCACTGATGGCTAGTGTCAGAATATTATTATTGGGTGCAGTCACCTGACAATTTTCCACATGGCTCATATGCACTGGCGTAACCAGAGTTATTAATATTTAATTTTTTAAATTTTTTATGAACTTTTAAATTTTTTGAAATTAATTTTTTATTAAATATTTTACTTTTTTACTTTACTTTTAGGTGCTTTGGGGAAATATTTGGGGGTCTAAACAGACCCCTGGTATTTCCCTTTTAAAATAGAAAAAGAGATTGAGAACAGAGTCCTCAATCTCTTTTTCTGTATCCCCTGTTATCAATTACAGGAATCCACTATGAGTTCCTGTTCCTTGATAACATGAGGACAGAGTATGTTTACTATAACTACAACTATGAATGAACAGGAGGAGATGTAGATCACTTCCCATTCATTCATAATTGAGGATATAGTAAACATACTATGCCCTCAGTTATCTACAAACACTCAGCGATCATTCATTGTTTGCTCTCGATCTCCTCTCTGACATGCTGTCACAGGAGGCTGAGCGAGCAGAGCAGGGAGGAGAGCCCAGCCTCCTGTGACATCGCTGTTCCCGTCCCCACACCGCTCTTCTGGACTGTGATAGGCGGCTGAGCGGTGTGGGAGAAGAGACACCGTCCACTCACAGCGCTCTCTTCCCGCAGCGCTCGGCCGGCTGTCACTTTCTCTCCTCTCCTTTCCTCCCCGCTGGGCACACAGAGCAGCGCCCAGCAGGGAGGAAAGAAATCACGGCTGCGCTGACAAAACGGCAGTTTATGCGATTTCATTTTCTAACCTGCACTAGAACATTTATAGTTGGTATCTGAAATGCTGGATGTATTACTTGTATTGTTACATGATTATTGCTATAGTTTATTAATTTTATATTTATAACTTTTTTAGGCTATTTTATGCACTTCAGCACTAGCACTGGTAGCACTGGGGATACAAGTGTACTTGAAAGCAGATTATTCTATCCAGTCAGAGGATATCAGTGTCTGGAATTCTTCTACTATAACAGTGGTAGCAAAACTGACCAGCTCAACATCTGGATCAAGCAGTATACAACAGACTCTCCCAATGGCACCCTTATATTTGTAGACTCTGTATCCGGTAAGAACTAACAATAAACAACAATAAAAGAGACTACACCAAGAACTGCCTTCTGCAGAAATGGTGCACAGCCTGTGAATACATAATATAACAAAACCATAATGAAGTTTGGTGTAAAGATATGTATTTATGGGCGTCCATCCTAAGCAGAAATTATTTAACAAAATACAAAAATCAATTGTGCTATCATAGGAAAACACATTTCACATAGGTTTCTTAGCTCAATCACAGAACAGAACATACAAGTTTTGGCATGCACTTCTAATTGCACAAAACATAAGCAGGATGATCAGACAGCATGACCATTGTATCACAATTGTAAGTCTGACTGGCTACTTGTGTCTCTTGGCACAGCTTCAGCTATAAACATGGATGCTCATGTTCATGTTTATGCCATGGAGCAGATAGCACATAGAAAAATAACAGACATTAGCACGCTTTTCCAATGAGTTGGATAGTTATGTCCTCAAGACCCTGGAGTCCACAGGTGCTTGGAGCGGTGACTACTTTACAACACACACAGGGAACATGGGGAACAAAAGTAGCCACCCTCCAGAAGGAAGGACAGTGTCAGCACCAATTCAGAGATGATTTGAGGATCTACAGCCGAGTGATACACAAATAAGGTAACTCCTGAGTTTAGTGTCAATCTAAGTATTATTAAACATGTTTGGTCCTTACCCTGTTTTCTGCCATACTAGCATTATACATTTCCACAATTTGTTTCCAAAGAGTGATAAAGCCATTAGGGGTTTGTCATTTCTGTACACATCCAAAAGCCCTGAGAGTGCTGCTGGGACCTGCCACCTTGGATGTCATGTTAGCATATTTGGTTTCTATTTACTTAACACAACATATTTTTGTATGTTACCAATACTGTGTCTGCATGCACTAAAATTAATTTGAGCAGTGTTGGACCTAAGGTCACCTGACCACGCTGACCAATGAGTGCTTACCATTTTCGATCAAAATTCAGAGTGCAGGGCTGTGCTACTTGGCAGTACGGGGTACAGATAGCACACATGTACCATCTAAGGGGAAGAAGCGTTTGCCCAAAAGGTAAGTATAGCAAAGGGGGAAAGGGTGCCAGATTGGAGAGGGTAATTCAATTTTCCCAAATTCACGTGGGAAAGAGGAATTACCCTTTAAGAAATTAGGTTTACAACTTCATGGCATAATAAGTTATTGTACCTCAAGTCAGAAGGTGAGAAGGCCTGTGGACTATGCTACAGGAGTGCTGAGTTTACTTCCTGCAGGAAGTAAACTCAGCACTCACCAATCAAATAAAAATATAGGTTAAAAAACCGCCAGCAAGTATACCAACTAATTTATCATTAGGGAAAAGCTGTTTTGGGTGCTGGATACATCCATCTGGCATTGTGTCTTTGGTAGCTAACCTATGAATGGCTAATTCATGAATTACATTTTTGTGTTGACTTGGTTGTTATATCGTATAACACTTCAGACAGTGCTTGTGCGATAATGTCAATAATGACCACTGTTTTTTGCAATTTGCAGGTAATCCTGCTGATTTCTGGCAGCTCCACCATTCTTCATTGAATGCAACATATAAGTTCAGATATGTATTTCAAGTAGTCAAAGGAAATGGAAATTCCACTGGTGGTTTCTCGATTGATGACATCAACTTATCTGAAACAAAATGTCCACAACATTTTTGGCATATCAGAAACTTCACACAAAATGTGACTAACACATTCATTTACAGTCCTCCCTTCTACTCTAAAGATGGCTATGCCTTTCAGATTGGATTATATGACTTCCTTTCTGAAGTCTCACCTTTGAACATTGCAACATATCTGTTCCTGATATCAGGGGCCAATGATAAAACTCTTCAGTGGCCCTGTCTTTGGAGACAAGTGACAATAGAGTTCCTGGACCAGAATGCAGATGCTCAACAGCGAGTAACAAACATGAAGAGTATTACAACGGATCAAACCATGAGTAAGTTTTTGATACAGAAAGAAGTGGAGGAAAACAAAATAGAATGCGCACCATGGAGTGTTTTCAGACAGGAAAATGTTTGTGTTTGATTTTTTTCATATCTTGCTTGGATCGCCTGGATACAGCTACAGCTGCCCTAACTTAAAGCAGATATAAACTCAAAAACAAGGATTTAATATATTGCAGCTTAACACTTCTTACATGTGGTGACTGTATTTGTTTTCTTTTTTCAGGCTGTTTTTTTTATTATTTTCACCTGGTAATCATGAGGGTAGCTATGATCACTCCTCTCCACTGTATATATGTAGGGAGCCATGGTTGCCACCCAACCAAAACAAACATATCTATCTTCTTTCATTCCATTCACATGGGGGTGGGGATGTTAGTAGTTTACATAAGGCAGAGATAACATTTCTTTTGCTTTTAGTTCAACTCATATGACGTGACAAGGACACTGTATTTCTGGCAAGATGAACAGTTATTTTCTGTCCTTGCTGAAACTGTACTTAGCCTGAAAAATGAAAAGGAATGCAAACACCACATCTGAAGAGTAGTATGCTGTCATATATTACATTTTTGTTCTTGGGTTTAATTATTCAACCCTCCCAGCTGCTTATGCTTACTTCTCCTTCACTTTGCTCACCCATAGAAGCAAGGAGAAGAAGCCCTATGTAAGCTCCAAGCCACTCTACTCAGAGCATACATTCGAGTAAGGACTTTTTCCCTATCCCCACATGAGGACACAAGAGTCTGGCAGTTGGTCACTTAGGCACCCAGCACTCTATTGTGAGATGAAGGACATAGGGTCACATGTTTCCTATACATACAAGTAACAAGTATTTCTATTCACTTGGGGTGGATGAAAACAGTGGTGGGAGTATAGGAAAGGTCATTATATGCAGGGTACACAACAAGTGTATTTGTTGCTTTTGCCTACATGGCCAAAGCACAGGTTTGCTTTAATGGCATATTATTTTTATTATTTTTATTATTATTATCATCATTATTTCTTAACATTTCATTTTTTCAACCAGACATGGACATGTACAGGATATGTATGTCAGATAAACTCTTCAGTAAGATTTATACATGGTGCTAGCTTATCTGCTTAAAGGAGAATTATGGAATGATTGAAATACAGTCATCCTAATAATTAGAGCAGACATGTGACACTGCAGCTGTCATCTGTCGGCTCTATAGATCAAGAACTGAGCGATCACATACCTCTGATTGCTAAGTTCACAATCTTATCCCTGCACAGAGCGGTGACTGTTAGCCATTGCTCCCCACAGGGATTCCCCTCTCTCCAGTCCTCCAGCGCTGACTGGAGGGACAGATGGGGGAGGGGACGGACACAGCTCTAGAGAGTCATAGCCAGCTCTCAATCAGGTAGCAGGGTGGATCTGGCTGCTGAGCTGGTTGCGTTGCAGCATATAGGGGGCAGTATCCCCCTAGATGTTGAATTTTGGGTCACAGGAGGACATAAGTAAATGTCCTCCTGTGACCCTAAAGAGAAATACAGGCAAAAAGGTTTTCCCATAGTTCTCTTTTAATTAGTATAGCTCAATAAGAATTGCCTGTCAGGTTTCCCAACCACTATTCTTGGGAATTCTTGGGAATTGCACTGATATGTCGCAATCATTTTGCTTTTATGGATAGTCAGATTGTTGCACAAGAAAGAACATTTTAAAATTATATGCAATTTGCACCTGACACGGAAATCAGATCATGGTCCTTCTTTTTAGGAAATGTAATACTCTGGGATTTGTAAATATTGGAGCAAAGAAAATATAGCGTTGGTGGTCATAGTAAATTAGATAGTATAGTATAGTTTATAATTGGCTATCGGCAATTAAAATTAAACTTAAAATCAGAATGGTTGTTTTAGGTAAGCACATACTGTATATTGCCTTTGTTTTGGTTATAAATTGGACTTTCTTTTCATAAATTGTGTTTAGTAAACTTTCTTTCATTTGACCAAAGACTATCCCAGAAAGGAAATGAATGGATAACTATGCTTTAGTGTTTTTTTTTAGTGTATATTCAGTTTATACTTCATAGCAAATAACTGGTATATGTTAAGGTGACGCAAAGAGATCACATGAGGATGTCTTTCCCTATGGCAGAATGGAACTTAACTCAGGAGTTAAACCTTAAAAATGCATTCAAATATCTTAACTATTAACAAAAATGTATGTATCACTCGGCTGTAGATCCTCAAATCAACTCTGAATTGGTGCAGACACTGTGCTTCCTTCTGGAGGGTGACTACTTTTGTTCCCCATGTGTGTGTTGTAAAGTAATCACCGCTCCAAGCTCACTCTCACAATGGACTACAATCTTTCAGTTTAGTTTACTAATTTGTTTTGAGATTGTAGTCCTTTACAGGAGTGAGCTTGCAGCGATGGCTTCTTTACAACACACAGGTAGCATGGGGAACTGAAAATGCCAGGGAGCCGCTATCTAATAGAGGGAGACTCCCTGAACATCAGGGAGACTTGAGATCCCTGCAAAAGTAGTCACCCTCCAGAAGGAAGGACAGTGTCAGCATGAGATAATTTGAGGATCTACAGAGAGATACACATGTGAGATACATTTTTTAATAGTTAAGGTACTTGAATGCATTTTAAGGGTTAACTCTGAGTTTAGTGTCACTTTAAGTGATATCTTAGCCTGCATGTTGAAGCTGTCTAATGACCCTAAGGGCCCAAACAAATTACCTCATGATCACCTCCCTCAATGTGGGGTGGTTTATGAATGTTGTAGCCTAGGTTCCCCAAGCCACATCTAATCCTGGTGATCCAGAAGCAGCTGTAACCTCTTGGGGCCCGTTCGCACCAGATGCAGTGCGTTCCGACCCGATTCTGGCCAGAACGCTCTGCCTCACATTGCGGCCGGCTCACTTTTTTGGGGGGCAGGAGGGGAATGACGGGCCATTGAAGTATATGGCACCATAGCCACGCCCTCTAGCCGCAATGCGATCGGCCGCACAAGATCGCAAGACACATTATGTCTGCGGTCCGGTGCGATCAAAATGCTGCAAGCACTATTTTGATCTGGTGTGAATAGGCCCTAAAGTTTCCATACTAAACACCATATTTCGTTTGCTGCAAGATTATGGAAAATAGTGTAAAGGCCAACATTGTTGCCACAACTGTGAACGTATCCAATAATTTATGTGAGGAGTAAATTATTAAATATCTGCAATGTTCTATAAGCAATTACAAATATTTATGAATTCTCACAGGTTCTATACATCTAAATTTGTATTTCAATCTTTAGATGGTTACAGACAATATTTGTGGGATAACCCTGCATTGGTTGGGTGGAATAAGACATTCTCTAATGGAACCTATTACAACATAACCGGTGGCTTTGGAGATATTCTTTTCACATCTAAGGATTGGCTGAACAGAAATAACTTCCTGAAAGGCGGAGATGCTTTTATTCTTCTTTCCACAGAAGGTATATGCTGCTTTAACATCAATATACTATGCGTGTTCTGTGAAGTGGCTACAGTACTTCTGCAAATGTTATCTGTAAAAACAACACGTTTTAATGACAATACTTGTCCTTGGCATTCATTAACACCAAAATGCAGGTTCCCAGGTTACGTTAAAGTGTATGTAAACCCTAACAATGCATTTCTTTTATTTTCTCCCTTTTAGTCTGTTAAATATACATTTGAAAGCATTTTGTTATATCTGTTTGATAGGTGCAAAACAATCTGTTGATCCTGGCAAAAATCCAATTAGCTTTCAACTTCTGTGAACTGAACATTTGAACAGTGTAATCCATCATGGCCTGTTCACCTCTGTAAATTACAGAACACATTCCTCAATGTTGGGGAAATAAGTGGAGGGGGAGATGCTCTGTAGTCCAAATCAGAAACAAGCAGCTTAGGGTGACAACACCGCTTCACCATAAAAACAATACAGTAAGTGAGGGTTGTCACCCTAGGACAATAAGTACATTACTGACAGGATCATAACATGAAAAAAAAGGAAATAAATGCAGCCACCACACCTAAGGACTTGTTAGCTCAAATACATTTTTCTCCTTGGGTTTAGATACACTTTAAGCCTCCATATACACCATCGTGTTCTGTGAACGTACAGCTAGGGGCTGATATTGCCTTATCAGTAACTTTAAAACCACATTCACGGGAACCTGCACAGTCATACAGCATGCATGTCCCTGCAGAAACCTGCGTTCGCAAGTGACAGCTGGTGTGTGCACGCGCCTGTACAACTCAATGACAGGACGCAGCTGCATGCTGGTACAGGCCAACCCAAACTTGCATATCCGAACAGGTACAGATGCATGTTCCTGGATGCAAATAGTCTGCGTCAAGGGGCGTGCTTCCATACCAGTATGGAAAAGCAGTCCTTGAGCTCTAGGCAAGCAACTGTGCCTAAGCATGCAGGAGTCTATTACTCACTAAGAGCTCTTTTGATCAGCTTCTATTTGGTGAGTACCCACCCGAGAGGGGCAGTTCGGACCACCTTAAATACACTGCTACTTTTGTTTGTACACGGGGTTCACCGTTCACCGAATCTTTTTCCATAAGGAACACTTTTTGATGTTTCACAGGATTTTTATATGACTTTATTGGACAATTTGATTGGTTTTTATGTTTTATCTTTATCACAGCAATTTTGTATTGGTTTATTAATCACATTTCATATACATTACTAGGCTCCAGGCCGACCCGCCTGAAAACCTATCTTCCACTTTTTATACACAATATTTAATACCTTTAGCGCTTTTTATTTTGATTGATTACCGTAGGGAGTTCTTCAGTCCCCTTTTTAGAGCTGCTCTGGGTTTATTAGATTTGTTCACTATTTTTAATTATTTAATTATTCACGTATTTATTCCTTCTGTACTACCATTTTTAATTATTTAAGTATTCACTTAATTTTCCTTCTTTACTACCTCTCTCCAGAAGCGCAGATTATCTATTTACATGCAGGAGAAAGTGTCTCCCCTTCCCTAGGCATCGCTCAGACTCTCATATTGAAGTTTTATAGAAAGCTTATCTTCACCTGTCCCAATACCTATTCCTCTTTCTTTATAGTCTTTTCTATTTTTGCTCTTTGCATCTAACACACTTCCATGTGTGTGGGATTTCTGGTTCTCCGCCACTTTCCCTCGTTACTTCCATATTACAGTAGTGATGTAGAGGTCAGCTGAAGGAACCAACAACGTTGGTGACACAGGTATCCAACATTCTTAAGAGTGAGAAATTGAGGAACAGGCGAGGGGGCAGGTGGGTATTAGGCCTCTTCATTTACAGGTATTTTTTCAATACACACAAAGTGTTACTGTATCTCACAAATATAATATATATTATGTTACCCTCCTCTACAAAGAAATATCACTATATATTAAGAGAAGTCCACTGGCAGCCTGTAAGTGGAGAGAAAGGTGGTCTATGGGCTAAAAATTGGATCAGCATGGTGTAACGATTCTGCCAATCTGCTGGCTGTGCAATTTACAATCTCATCATCTGCCAGTTCCCTCAGCCTGTACTAAGCTTCAAAACCATATAGTATGGTATGAGAAATCTCCAGCTTTCACACAAATGAAGTAGCAGGATAGTGGTGCATGAATGGGCATAGAACAGGATAAATTGATCACTCTTGCCCTTTAATAAACTGCCCACATGCCCTTTGACTGGTTCCAAACTTAGATGTAATCTTGCACCATTAGAAAGATTACCATGTATGAACTATACTGTAGATCAGGGGTGCCCATTAGGTAGATCGTGATCTACCAGTAGCTCTCAAAGCTGATGCTGGTAGATCACAAAGGGTGTGAATGGCGGCCCCTTGATTCCATTTTGGTATATTTATTTAGCTGTACACACATGATTACCTATTAGTCTGCTGAGCCAAGCTCCCTGACACCTTTCTGGTGGTTGAAGTGCTATGTATTACATCAAAGAATATTAGTTCACACAGCCTGTTGCACTACACTGTTTGCAAAATACAGCAAGGTGAGCCAGGAGAGAGAGCGGGGGGAGACAGCCAGGAGAGAGAGCAAGGAGAGACAGCCAGGAGAGAGAGCAAGGAGAGAGAGCAAGGAGAGACAGTCAGGAGAGAGAGCCAGGAGAGACAGTCAGGAGAGAGAGCCAGGAGAGACAGTCAGGAGAGACAGCAAAGAGAGACAGTCAGGAGAGTGAGGAGAGACAGCCAGGAGAGAGAGAGCGAGGGAGGTTTTTTTTTTCGTTGGTAGATCTCACGTAGCTCGTCATTTGAAAAGTAGATCTCAACACAAAAAATTGTGGGCACCCCTGCTGAAGATTCTAAACTATTGTTCATTTGTAAGGGGCAAAAACAATACAAAATACAAACAATAAAAAACATAAAAAAAGTATTTTAAAATTTTTGCTGCTTTTCATTTTCCGCAGACATCTCCAGTCTCACAGCCTCACAGCCATTGCCTTCATCCACAACCATTTCTTCACAGCCATTGCCTTCATTCCCAACCAATTCATCGCAGCCAGTCTACTCTACGTCTAACCCAAACAATTCTTCATCATCTGAAGCTCTACGTCTCTGCAGCCAAAACATTTGCTATAATGATGGCATCTGCATTATAGAAAATCAGATTGAAACGTGCAGGTATGATATTTAAAAACTGAAATCATATTAAATGATTTACAAAGATGATGCTTCTGACAAGATATTGCATACCTAATAGTAAATGTTATAATAATAAGAAATTATGTGTTCAGCTGCTGAATAATTTAAAGTGACACTAAATTCAAGAGTTAAATCTTAAAAATGCATTCAAGTACCTTAACTATTAACAATGTATCTTATTTGTGTATCACTCAACTGTAGATCCTCAAATCATCTCTGAATTGGTGCTGACATTGTCCTTCCTCCTGCAGGGTGGCTACTTTAGTTCCCCATGGTCCCTGTATGTGTTGTAAAGTAGCCACCGCTCCAAGCTCACTCCCGTGGTAGTCTATAATACAAATTAGTAGACTAAACATGTGATTGTAGTACATAACGGGAGCAAGCTTGCCTTCAGCCTTCAAATGATCTCAGACTCCCGGCGGCAAAAGTCGCCGGGAGTCTGTTTAAACAGCCCCGATGCTGTACGTCGTCAGTCATGAAGGGGTTAAATGTGTAACCGTCGAATACTGTTGCATTATTAAAACTAGCAGGGTTATTCACAAAATAGCTGATTTGGAAAAATTCTCCAATTTAGCTCACTTTCCGGTTCAGCTATGTTGTCCTAGCTTGTTCACTTCTCCTGCCTTCTCCAAACCCTTCACCCTTTTGTGAATAACCCTGTAGGTAGTTAATAATGTAGCGATAACTCCCTGCAAGGAACCGCTGTTGTGCCCACAAATTGATTTCCATTTCAGTAGTATGATGCTAATTGAACACTTTATTGAACATCTTCTTATGGAGCGAGGGTATAGGGGTTCTAGGTGTCTAGGGGGAACCATCAGAAGCTCCAGACTCACCAGAACTTGCAAGAGTAGCAATGCAGATCCACAATCCAGGAAATAAACACTGACCATGCTCTGAAGTCCACATAGATCCAGGGCACTTCAAGAGCCTGTACTGGTTCTGGTTCTATTCTTTCTCTCATCTCTCAGGCCTCCTCCCTATTGGAAGTCTCAGGGAAACCTCTTCCCTCACTTCAGCCTATGCCGACCCCCAGGCCTCGGTGTAGCCTGGGGGGCAGGCTGAATAGGACCCAGCCCTAATCCATGGCTGGTCAAGGCGAGAGAGAGAGCACATGGCAGCTCCCACTAATATATGTAGTCTGCCCCAGCATGCACCACTGGCTGAAAGAAGCCCAGTGATTGGCTGCTGTACAGCACATACATTACAGTATCCACCATTGGCTGTCCCTCAATATGACAATAAGTCACACTCCGCCCAGGGGGTACAGGCAAGGCTAGACACCTGGGATTAACCATGTAATCGCCACTACAATTCCAGCCAGGCTGTCTACAGCCCTGGCTATCACTAAATGCATAGTAGTCACATCACAAAAGGTGATGGGCACTACACTAACAAATAGTAAAACATTTGATCTGCTATTAATGAAGTCATTACAATGTAGCAACAATAATGAAATTCTTATTGACACTGCAAACACTGTTGTGCAAGTGTCAATTAACACATGATCAGCTAGAGCCACTACCATAAAATATACAGCCCAGTCCCAGCTTTCAAAATGACAACTAGTATTTGCCTGGTATTGTTGCCAGGGAGGAGGAAGATGGATAGATGTTTTTAGTGCTAAAAATTGTTGAATGGTCTAAATTCGCAAATGCTTAACATACATTTTCTATATATGTATTCCAAGGGAAGGCTCTTCCTGCATTATGAGTGCAGCTGCAGGTATTAATGCATGTCAAGTACACATATGGTATATTTACATGTTTGATTGTGGTACCATTTGCCCTGCTTTTGGAAATATAGTGGAGGTTGCAAAGTCTCCTAATTTGGAGGAACTCTCCCTCTTTTGGAACCAAATCCCTTTGTCCCTTTTTCTCCTCAGTTGTCCTTTTGATCTGTATATACCTCTATAAAGTATACTATTTAACTTTAAAAAAGTGTTAGAAACCTTTTATCATCCTCAAAATTGCCCCATTTGTTATTTTTTTTAAATAGAGGTGGTAACAAAAACACTTGTGGGTTTAACTAATCTTTCTTTGAGTTTTAATTCTTTGTGGGGTCATGCTAGGGATGTGTCCTCAGGCTTTATGCTTGTGCTATAAGGTGTTAATCTTTCTGCTGTTTAGGAAGTAGGATTTATAAATGCACAGCAATAATAATATATATAGGTGGGATAGGTGTGGATTATGAATTTAAAACTGATGGTGCAGAACTCTCCATGTGGGGCTTGCAATTTGAAGATGGAAAAATTAAAGTTGCCTCATATCAGGCGCAACATGCATGTGTTTAAAGGGCCCACACATGCTATAATTTGATTTAAAATTTGCCCACTTTAGACTTGCCTATAAGATTTATATTTATCGTTGCCAGTAATGTATACATGATCAGATAATAAATTACTTTGTTAGCCAGAGTTGCAGAATGCAGGCATTAATTGATTGATTGCTTCTCTTGAGGTTTCTTGTGATAGGAGAATGGTTGGAGGTGCAGGTATGATATGACCTTCCCAAGCTAGGAATTCTAAAGAGCTCTGCAAGCCCTCCATAAATATGCATGGTGAGCTTCTCTTGTCACATCTGTTATCCTGTTGCTGGCAACGTCTCACCAGCAAGTGGCATAGAAATAGGTCAGTATTTCTCTGCTTCTGTCTAGAGACCTTGTTTCAGCAGTAGCAGAAACATCTTTGTGACATGGGCCTTACAGTTCCCCCAGTCACCAACCAGCATGTGGAAGGACAGGTAGACTGTCCTGAGATTGTTACCTGATTTTCCATTTGCAGTAAGGGTCAGTTTTCTGTCATCTCATATCTTTGATTAGCTTTTGTCTAACATTTTTGCAAAGATGATTTTCTTTCTAAGCAGAATGTCTGGATTAACCTTAGTATGGGCGGAATAAAGAGACTTTACACAGCAGCTGTCATTGTTAAACAGCATATTCATCTGTTCTTTCTTTATAGATTTATGTTTATGTATCAACAGTTTCCACTGTTTTCTTATACAGGTGCAAAAACCTTGGTAACCTGTGGTTTGGGGGTGAAAGATGTGAGCAACGTCTCTTCAACAAAGCCTACACATGGACAAAACCAATTTATATACCGCTTTGTACTGTTTTTGTTGTTTTTGTTGCTACCCTGTGATTTATACAGTATGTGGATTCAGCATTTCCAAAAAAAATAACTTACGTGGATTCACTAAAAACACCCAAAACATTTAAGAGACCGACCTCTACAGTTCTGCAAGAATTGTAACAGCAAATGGAATTGATCTCAACAGAAAATGAATGGAGGAGAGCACTTTAGCAGCAACATGATTTAAACCGGCATTAAACTGTCACTCTAATAAAATGGGAGAAATTAGTATATCCTCTAACAGTCTACAAAACTCCCTTTCATGACCTGCTATCTAAAAGCACAGAGGTGCTAGGAAGGATCAATGGAACAAAACACAGTGTTACTAGTTTTACTTCACAATGGTTGACATATTCACTCTAAAATTGTCCCCAACCCAATCTTCCCTGACAACTTTCCACACATGGTACAGGAAGCTCCCCTCATATATTGGTTTTGGACAAGTTATGCATTTGCTATCTTCATTCACTATCATTCTAATTACTTATGCAGCTTGTATCTGCCTACTTAAATAAATAAAACATTGCAGGGAGGTAAGGATTTTTGGCAGAAGAGACAATCTCTTCTGCCAAAAGATTCTTCCTCTCTCCCCCAGCAATCTTTTATTTGCTATGTACATTGTATGGCACATGCACCCTGCAGTGTGAACACTCAGCCCATTCAAGACATCTCTAGGATGCCATCATCCTGATGCCAGGGAGGATGCTGCTCCTGTGTGCATACGCAGGAGGTACATCATGAGTGGTGACCCAATGGCCAAAGATGATGCCTGGGAACCCAGTAGGCATCTTTTTGGCTAAAAAAAAAGCTTTTGGGTTGCCATACACTTTATCTTCTTTGTTTCAGCTCCCCCTTCTTGTTTTACCAGTTGGAATGCCATAACCATATTGCTTTTTCTACGTTCATAATGAGATTGCTGTACTGTGTACCTGATCCATTTTGCACACTGATGCATGGTTACAAACATTATTTACCAAGTTAAGGGAAACACCCCCTGCAAAGTGTAAATTCCCTTGCAAAGTGAAAAGCCTATTTGCCTTTAGTAAATCAACTCCACTGTATCAATTTAGTGTGCAGGAAGTTACAAGAATACAAATCCTGGCAAGATAAAGAGACATGATATCCTGCTTGCAGAAAATGGACTTGGCCTGGAAAAAAGAAAACTAATGCAGCATCATATTTAGGGAATTCAATTTTTGTTCTTCAGTTTAGATATCCTTTTAATATGTATGGCATTCACAAAATATAACAAATTATTTCCAAGTAACTTGTGATTTTTTTTCTAGTATCATTTTAAAGCAGATACCAACCAAAGACAACATTTCTATGTTGTTTGTACACTGGCATTTTGTATTTTCAAAATAGCAACTCACTTACCAAAAATACCAGCTACCAGCTGATGTCTATAATACTAGACACAATTGTGATCAGTCTGGTGGAGTTATTCCACAATGACACTTGAGCTATTGTTCACTCCCCCACCCCACTGCAATCCCTTCCCTTTAATTGTGAGTCCGTGCTGCCTCCAGCAGTTCTATGGTTAATGCAATACATTGGTATTGTTGTGTATAGCCATAGTTAATATTTGTTATGCTGCCATCTTGTGGGTATTGTGTGTATTACACCTTTTTCCGGTGTTCCTCCCTTGTTTGATGCAATTCCCTCATTTCCTCAGTGTTCGATTTATCCCTTTTCCGGCCACATGTGCATGTGAGAAAAGGAAGACTATTCTGACTCCGATTGTTTTTATTAGCGATTTATCCCTTGCTGAGACCTCTATGCCTGGCCTGTATAAGCAGATATAATCACTGCAGACAATCCTTATCAGATAGCTGAACTCACCAAATAC